TGTGAGTGGGTTACATGTTCAGGGAAATCCCATCCCAGCTGTCATGGCCTCCTGGAGGGAGCAAGTGCTGCTGTCATACGTGCGTCATTTTCTCATCCCTTTCTTCAGTAGGCCCTTTCCTTTCCCTCTGAGCCTGGTGTGAATCCTGTGTTCAGCTCCCTGCAGAGGGCCCCTGGTGACTCCCTCCCCACCTCTCTGAGTCCTCTGGTGGCTCCTGGGGAGCAGCCTTCCTCGCTCTGCCTGGGACTTTGATGGAAGCAGCCTGGCTGCTCTTCAGGAGCTTTGTGTTCTTTGATGCTGGTGGTCTGGAAAGCAGTGACACCTTGCGTGCTCTCTGGAGAAGCCGCGGGGTCTGTGTTGAAGGTCTCCATACCTCTGTGAACGTGCCCTTCTGGGGACCCCTCTGCTGGGATCAAGAACCCTGGAGACACAGCAGGGAGCTTGAGGAAGAGTTTTCTGGGCTGCTTGGTGGGTGGGCTCAGGCTAGGAAACGAAGGACTGGATTGGAATTGCTTTCCCAGAGCATTCGACATGCATCCAGTGTCTTTGTTAGCAGGTTTCCTTTGAAACTTCCATGTGGTCTTCTCCACCAAGCCCTGTAGTAAAAACCTCTGGGCCCTTCTGCTGCCTTTACAGTTACCGTCTTCCTCCTTTGTCACATCCTCTGAGCTTTTGAATTTTTGTAGTAAAACTACTTTCAGGTGGGTAGAAACCTGTTTTTCCTCCTTGAAAGAAGCTTATAAAAAAATCTAGAACAGCCCAATATCACCTTTAAGTTGTTTTTGGTACCAGGGATCAAACTCGTGTCCTTGCGCTTGCACAGCAGGCGGTGAAACCACTGAGCTAAATCCCCGGCCCTTACCTTTAAGTTTTAATAACATTTACACACTGGTTTTTTCACTCAACAAGGAGGTTTTTGTCTTTTGTTCTTAGAAGATGAGTTTTTCGAAGATTTTATTAAATTACATACTGCCTGAAACAGGTGGGCCTGACACTGATAGATTGTCAGATATTATGAAGTCGGGAGAGGGCTGCTTTTGGCAGCCTTCCTCTAGCTGAGTGGGTGTTCGTAGGGGGGAGCTGTGTGTCGTACCCCTAGATGAGAGAGGGACTCTCCTTTGGTTGCTAATTTGGTCAAGACTGAGATGAGGCTCCAAGTGGAGGCAGATAAGTAGTTTTTTAAGTGGTTTGGGCTGTCATCATCTTCAGGCAGGCACATTCACCTCAGGGGAGCATTCCACTCTGCCATTGCTTAGGGGCGGCAGACACAGCGTCTGGCACCTGCTCCCCGCGGCCTCGGCCTGGTCTTGCTTCGCTGGAGTTATTTAACCCTGAGATGCATGTTGCTCCCACCTGAGCTGGTTCTGCATGTAGGACTGAGAAAGACAGGCCTCGGCCTGGGTGCATGGTGTGGTTAGACAGTTTTCAGCATCTCCTCCAGTGACACCCTGAATGAGATTACCTGGAGCCAGCAAGCACCTGGATCCCTCACATCATGTGTGTGCTGAGCACTGCACTGAGCCCCTTTCTATGTTACCTCATTTGTTTATTTATACAGTTTTTTTGAGATATAATTCACATATCATCCATTTACATTGCTACAACCCACTGGTTTTTTGTATGTTCAGAGTTGTACCATAATCAATTTTAGTGCATTTCCATCACCAAAGATAGAAATTCCGTAACCTTCACCAGCCATTTCCAATACCCAATAAATTAGTCATTTCTTGTCCCTGGAACACAATTCCTAACACCCATAACTTAAAGGAGGAGAGCTTTATTTGGCTCACAGTTTCCAGTGGGTTTGGTCCATGGTTGGCTGCAAGGCAGAAACCCATGGTAGAGGAGCATGGTAGAGGAAAGCTGCCTCATCTTGTGGCAGCCAGGGAGCAGAGAGTGAAGGGAGGAGCCGGGAATGACAATATTGGATTCCAGGTCACGCCTGGCTCAGGCAATTGCTTATCTATTTCTGTCTACATGTTTGTCTCTCCTGCATTTTCTTCCCCTCCTAGCTGACTGTAATTATATATCCTTTGGCCAGTATCTCCTCATCCCTCCCACCTCCTAACACCCTCACCTCTGGTAACCACCGTTTTATTCCTTTTGTAAGATCAGCTTGTTTGAGTTTCATGAGTGAGACCGTGTGATACTTGCCTGTGCCTGGCGTAGTTCACTTAAAATAATGTTCTCTACATCTATGCATGTTGTTGCAAATGACAGGATTTTGTTATTTTTTTGAGTAGTATTCCATTGTGTATATGCCCTGCATTTTCTTTATTCATTCATCGATTGATGGACACTTCGGGGCATTCCTTGTCCTAGCTACTGTGAATAGTGCTGCAGTAGACTCGGGAGGGCAGACGTGTCTTTGACGCAGATGTGTGACCTCATTTATTCCTGGCACCACCTTTGTGAAGCAATGACACCCCACGAAGAGGTCCCTTGCCAGTGTCACAGGGCAGAAGGGACGTAGTGGGCAATGCTTCTGAACATCTGTAGGCTTTTCAAAAAGCTCTTTTCTGAGTTTTGTGGATTAGGAAGAAAAGGAGACAGGCTGGATGAGGCTGAATGAGTCTTGATGCCCCAGATGGTGCCACCCTGTCCCTCTGGACAGAGGTCCCCAGTCGCCAGCCAGAAGACCCTCCCCGCCCTTAACTCTACAGTTACCGGATATAGGTGTTGAGGCTGTTCCTCTCTGGACTTGGGAAGAGCGTGGTCAGTGCTAAAATTGGGGTCCTCAGCTGTCTGGAGGGGCCTAGACTGAGGGCCTGGGCTCTCTGGAGATGTCAGTAGTGCACATTCACATACAGTTCTGTTTTGGGGCAGAAGAAATTCCCAAGGAGCAAACCTAGGATGGAGGCCCACGTGCTCTGGGCGATAGCTCAGGTGTGGCTGCCAGAGGCTTCTACCAGGAGCCAGCAAGACAGGACCCCCGCCTGATGACATTCAGGGTCTCGAGTGAGCACAGAGCCAGAGCCTTGCTGGGCGGTCAGGGTCAGATGCGGAGCTGACATGCCCTCGCAGCACATGTGAGACAGACCGAGAATTCATGGTGCTGCTGCTGCCCGAACCTGTAATTTGATCTTAAATTCTTTTTATAATAACTTTATTGTTTTCATTAAAAGGATACATGATCCTTATAAAAACAAAACAAGACTCACTCTAGACATAAAGGAAAGTACAAAGAAGTAGCACGTTGGTCCAAACCTTAGCTTCTGGAGATAACCTGTTTTAATGGTTGATCAGACCACTTCCTAAATATCTCTTTGCACGTTTCCAGACAGAATTGATAGCTAGAGAAATGTTAAAATAGATAATTTTATAACAAAGGTGTCCTTCTAGGCATATTATTTTTAAAACAAAACCATATTTAATTCCTTTGACAGAAGACAGTTAAACCGATATAAAGTAATGCTGACAAAATTGCTAAACTTCAAATAACTGTACCTTTACCACAATAAATTCATTTTCAGATGTCCCTGTAAGACAGTGATTCTTAGCTGGGGGAGTTTTTGCTCCCTGGAGGACATCGAGCAGTGCCTAGAGATAGTTTTGTTTGTCACAGTGAGGGGCCAGAGCCTTCTGGTGTCTGGTGACAGAGGCCAAGGATCTCTAACCATTCTGTAAAGCAGGCACAGCCCCTCGCAGCCAACACGTAGCCCAAAATGCCAGGCAGTGCTGAGACTGAGAATCTGCTGCAAGGGTTAGAAAAGAGATCAATTAAAAGGTGAAATCGTTGTTGTAGCTCAGTTACAGTTTTAGATAATCTTGACTGGGCTTCTGCAGTGATAGATGGAACGATCAGCATCACCCTAGTTACCCCTCACCGCCAATGAGGAACACAGAGGCAGTATATGTTTTTTCCTTGTCACGGTTCTTAACTTAATTCTCCTATGCAGTTGTTACCCCGTGTATTTGGTCTTCGTTTTCTGTTAAGCCAGTCAGGGCCGAATACCCCGTCTCTGACCGTGGCTGCCCCTTTTCTGGGCCACCTCTTAGTAGGTTGCACTTTGATCTCAGTGGACATTTAGTGTGCAAGGGAAGCGAGGTGTCCGCTGTGCTCTGATCTGCCCTGGTCAGAGTTGCACTGCAGATTTGAGTTTGTGTCTTGATGCCACGCTCGCAAGAGGGGAGAGGGCCGATGGAGGGTCTCTAGGGCACGTGGGGGGTGCAGCGGGCTCCTTTGGAGAAGCAGAGTTGCATTTGGCATTGGACTTAGGATAGACTTCAGTGTGGAAGCAGGGTTGCCAGTTTTTACATGGGGCCCCCCAGGAGGCTAGACCGACGGCTGCGTGAACGTCGAGGACAGGGTGACTGCCAGGCTGCCCTGGTGGAGTGGTGGGTCCCTTCCTGACTGAAGTGCACTGGGAGCTACCTGTTGCTGCATTATCTGTGGACACTGGGAGTAAACCGTCCCCGGAGCAGCTGTGTTTAGGTAGCTTGGCAACTCTGAAATTCCGATAGTCTAATAATGCTTCCCGAGAGCCACCTGTCCTGGGCGGAGTCCCTGTCACTCCAGGTCTTTCCTGCCTGCTGTGTGGGACAGGGTGAGGACAGCCAAGGCCACATTGTGTGCACACATGGGTCATGATAGAGCCTCAGATGTTCTGTACATCTTCAGTTTGAACCCACTGTCTACTGACTCAAAAGGTAGTGTTAGGTTCTGCCAAGGTAGTTCCAGTCAGTGTCTGTAGTGTTTGCAAGATTACAGGGCAGGGCCGGGGATTTAGCTCAGTGGTTCTGGCGCCTGCCTCACAAGCGCAAGGTCCTGAGTTCGATCCCTGGTACCAAAAAAAAAAAAAAGAGATTACAGGGCAGGAGCGCATTCTAAACCCATTTCTGAGCCAACGCATGTCTGTGCAGTCAGAGCAGCATATCAGAGCCATGGCAAGGAAGACAGCCTCACAGATTGTTTGCTGCATAATTGGGATTGAGTGCTCTGCCCACGTTACTGTCGATGCTTGTCAGTGTGACTTACCAGTGGCTTTGTTTTGTTGTAGGGGAGCTATCCAGTTTGGGAAGATTTTATAAACAAAGCAGGAAAACTTCAGTCCCAGCTGCGGTAAGTAGAAGCCTGTGTTCCACAGGAAAGGGGCAACATCCTTGGAAAGGAGAGGGGTGGGCTGGATTGATTGGGCAGCGGCAGACAGAGCCCTACGCAGTGGGTTCTGACTGAGCATCACCATTTGTTTAACCATGGTCCTCGCCCTGATTGCAATGTAAAATTGGACTCCTGGTCTACTCTGCCTCCTTCCTCAGGAATTTATATAGCTCTCACTGTGTGAGGCATATGTTAACTTGTTCAGATCATACAACCCCATAAAATGAGTACAGTTACCAGCCTTGCTTTACAGATGAGGAAACTGAGGCACAGATAAGCTAAATGACTTAGCACTAATCGTTCTATAATGAATGACAGAGCAGTGATTTGAACTTGAGTGATCTGGTCCTAGAGTCTAAGTTCTAATCCATCTTTATTGCCTTTCAGCATAAAGGGTTTAACACCTAATGTTGACAGGGATGTAGTTTCACTTCCATGAAGTGTCTAGGAAAAGCGTATCTGTAGAGACAGATGAACAGTAGGGTTGCCCAGTCTGTGGGTGGCAAGGAGATTGACTCCAAGTGGGTAAGCGGGGTCTCCATTCTCAAACTGGGTTGTGGTAAAGGTTGTGCAACTCTAAATTGACTCAAAGTCATTGAATAGTGTGCTTCAAAAGGGTGAATTTCGCGGTGTGCAAACTGTGCCTTAGGAAAGATGCTTAAAAAACCTAACAAGATCTCTGCTGATCTTCCCTAAGAAGCTATCATTATTGCCTAGTGTGCTTGTAAATTAATCATTTGATACAATAGAAGACACATCAGCATCTTTTTGTTGACACTCCACCCCTTTAAATCAGCGTGGAGAAGGGATGCATTGCACTTAGTGGGTGGCCAGTGAAGGTTAAAAGGAGACACTATTTTGATGATTCTCATTCGTGAAATTTGGGTGATTGAGATGGATGAGAAAGGTTCAGAGAGCAGCAGGGTCCGTAGGTGTTTTCTAGGGTAAAGAACCATGTGGATGACAGACAGATGAAGGAGGGATGTGGCCTTCCTCAGCCCAGCCTCGGGTGCATCAGAGTACTGCCTGAGCTTAGGCCACAGGACCACAGGTTCCCTGGCGGCCCTTAGTTAGCAGAGAAGAGCTGGGAGGGGTGAATATTTTTCTGTCATTCCTTCAGCTGTTGGGGGCCTGGATTTACAGAGTCCTAAGACTGTGGCCTCTGGAATGTGGTGCCTTCTCCAGTGGCCCAGTCCTCTCCCATTTCCCTGCTCCAGAGCTTGTAATTACCTTCTTCTAGATCAGATGCGACCTCCTCAGCTCAGAGCTCAAGCGTCTTCCCCAGCCTGACCTTGTCTTCCCCACCTGATCACTACCTCATGCATTGATTCATTTGACGGTACTAGGGAGCACAGTCAGAGCCTTTGCATTGATCTGCATCCCTGGCCCTTTTTTTATTTTGAGACAGGGTGTTGCTGAGTTGCTAGATTGCCCAGGCTGACCTCAAACTTAGCATGGTCCTGCTGTCCTTTCATAGTGCTGGGATTATTTAGATAGGTTAGTCTGTGTCCTTTAGGAGGTCTCCTCCTGCAATAAAACATTTAAACACATTAGCCCTACCCCACCCCACTTGCTTCACTTTCTTGAGTTGTCTGGAAGGCTTTCAGGGTTGCCTAGGAGAGCGATTTTCTTTCCCTTTTGGTAGTGAGGCGCTAGAGCTTTAAAAACTCATGAGTTATCTAGGACATCCCCTGATCAACCCATGAGCCACTTGCCCTCTTGCAAAAAAATTATAATGAGTGTGCCAAAAGGAAATTTTATTACTCGTATACATTAACTATGATGATATTTGTATGCAGCCTAAGACCCAGGCAAACCAAAGGTTGGCCACCCATGATTTAATAAAACTTAATGTGATTTTAGCCTCGCTGTTAGAGGGTACATCTTATTTATTTTTTTAAATAACATTTAGGCCTCCTGAGGGTGGGGGCCATTTCTCTATTATTTTGTTAAACAGCATACAGCTCAGGTTAATTTTCCGTATTAGAAAAGAGATAAAGACTGAAGCATATAAGTCTTGGTGCACTTCAGCGGAATCACTCTAGATGTCTTATGACTGTCAGAAAGTCCCAGCTTGTCTGTCATTTAGAAGCTCACTCTTCCTCAAAATTAGCCACTGCCCTTGTTCGCTGAGGCGCCTTAGTGACTCTACTACACAGGTGCCTCTGCAGCTGGGTTAGGAAGTTTGGGTGGCTGACACTGAGCCGAAGAGAATAACTCCAGCCATTACGTCAGATATCAGTTGTAAATCAGAATGAGCTAGATATAAATCCCTAGATGTTTGATAAAGCTGACTTTTTCAAGGTTTGCATGTGATGTCAGCTCTAAAAAATAGGCTTTGAAATAGAATTTTATGTGTGTGTATGTCATTTAAAAATTTTTTTTTATTTAAGCAGAATGTGTTCTTGCCCTACTGGAAACTGTCAGGCCTCATTTTGAAGTCTGGCCTTACGGGCTGCTTATATCACCGTTCAAGAACCTTTGTTTTGTGGCCACGGTTGCTCTGTTTCTTTTTGTTTTTCTTCATTTTGAACTCTTTACTTTCTAGTCCTTAGTCTTACTCCTCCAGCAACTTCGCTTTCTCAGGAGTGTTCAGCAGAGACTTGCATCATGCGAGCAGTGCATGGAGACTCGTGTCCAGTGCCGCTCTGGGGCCTGCTAGTGTGGAGTCACGGCCGTGGCAGGGAGCGTGGCCTGCTCTTCACTGCATGGCACCCGGGCCCCACCTGGAGGAACCAGCAGGCCATGGAGCGAGCATTCAAGAGGACGTTAAGAATGCAAAACATTTGTAGGACATAATCTGAGAATAGCAAATGTTCTCCATTTTCAGCTTTTACAAATTCAAAAGGTACAGTTTGAATAGCATCCTAATTGGAAAAATAAAGCCTCACTTCATTTTAATTGGGATTTAGGGAGAAGAGCCACACTCCAGGATCCTGTGTTGCAAGGAGTGAACGGGGCCTGTGAGTCACCAGCTGGCTCACGTCCCCAGCTCTGGTGTGAGAGAAAGATCTTTAAAGTCTCTTTGGATCTGTGGCCTCAGTGTTCCTTTCACTGCAGTGAATTGCTGAGTGCTGTGATCTCTCCTAAGTCGATTCTTGATCCAATTCAGATGCATGTATATTATTTTCCTACTCAAGTTGGTTTCATCTGCACCATTTATAATTTTTAATGATTTTTCTTTTGCATAGAAATACTTATCTTTTCCTCCTCTGCAGAACTTGGCCTGGCCTGGTAGTAACTTTATGGTCAGGTGCCTGCAATAGGAAGAAGACTGGTGTTTGTTGACTGGCAGCGAGGGATCTGGACGTCACTGGGGAAGCCTTCGAGGGAAGAACGGGGCCAGTGCATTGGGGTTGTCTGTATCCAGGTGGATTGTTTCTCTCGGGAGGTTACATTCAATCCACAGTGGCGGTTCAGCCCTTGAACTGTAATGAATTTGTCAGTGTGAGACATTCCTCAGGCTTTTGTTATCTGTTTGCATTTTAGGACAACAGTAGTAGCAGCAGCTGCCTTCTTGGATGCCTTTCAGAAAGTGGCTGACATGGCCACCAACACACGTGGTAAGCAGATGGAGGGCTGCCTTCCAGCGCTAACTGAATTTGGCATGTGGGCTTTCCCCCTGGGTGGCTTTACAAGAAGATGCAGCTTAAGTTATCAGAGCTTAGCTGACTCATACTTTGCATTTTTAAAACTCTGTGGGGTTCTATTTATTAGAAGTTATAACTAGTGTTCCCCAGATAATAAAGCACATGTGAAGAAGGATGAAAAATAGAGAAAGGGAACCACAGTTCCCTTAGGAGATGGCCTGATGGTTTTTGGTCATTTGATGTGTGGTCCCCAACCTTTTTGGCATTAGGAACCTGTTTTGTGGAAGATACTTTTTCCACAAATTGGATTTGGGATGGTTTGGGGATGATTCAAAGGTATGCAACTAGATGCCCCCACCGTGTGCAGCCCACAGTAGGATTCGTGCTCCTACGAGAATCTAAGGTCCACCCTGATCTGACAGGACCGGGAGCTCAGGCAGTAGTGAGAGCCCTGAGGGACGCAGCTTTGCTCGGTCCCTGTCCACGTCTCGCTTTGGGTCCCATTTTCTGACAGGCTGCAGACCTGTCCTGGGCTGGGAGTTGGGGCCCCTGGTGTTAATGAGGACTGTGGAGCCTTGAGCTGTACCTTTGGCTGCACACTGTTCTTCCCTCCTGGCCTGGGTTGTCCTGCAGTGTTCTCCATGTTGCCTGGGGGCCTGGAATGCCATGGACATGATGCCATAGCTATTTCTTTAGGTTCTCATCAAACAAGGAACCCTTTTGAATGAGCACAGTATCCGGCAGGTCCTATCTGTTTATGTGTCTCCCACATTTGACTGCAGACCAATTGAGCTAGAGAGTGTGACTTACTCACATCTGAACACCCAGAAACACGGTACCCAGAACATGTTTGTAAAGTCAGTGAACAGAGGGAAATCTTTGAAAAGGTTCACTAGTGTCAGTGAACACACTCATGACCTTGAGCTCACGAACATTGATAACACGTGAAAGGAGTAAGCAGAAAACAAACATCCCCGTGGCCACATCCATCTTAGTGTTAGAGCATTGCCAGTAACATGGGGATCTGGTCCGGGAGCCTGGCTTCCTTCTCATCCCAATGTAGCCTCTCTCCTGCCTCTTTCCTCCCTTATCTTGCTGGGTGCCCCCCTTAAACTGGTAGCTATGCATCTGTTCTCCTCATTGTCATTGGTGACACCAGAAAATCTGAGGGTTGGGTGCAAGGGTTGGGCATTGTTCCCAGTTGCACAAGAGTTTAGTTTCCCTGAAGTACACCGTGGGTTCCTCCAGCGGGTCTCAGTAGAGATCCTTTAACTGCAGGGGGTTAATTAAATATTTGAATGGATGTGCAGCAAGGACATTTCTCATGCATTTAAGAAACACCAATTCCTTTTATTGGAGATGCTGTCATGGGACTGCAAAAATCAATACATTGCTCTGCTTGTCCTGGAGGAGCTTGCAATTGAGTGGGGGTAAAAAGAGGTGTGTAAATAAAGTATGTCAGTGCAGCAGTAATATGTGTGGTGTAGTAATAGTAGTGGAACAGAGTGCTAGAGGAATATACAAAAGTGAGCAATTAACTTGGCTCAGGGAATTGAGGAAGTTTTCCCAGGGGAGGTAATTCTCCTCATTTCCAAGATGCCAGCAGTGTTTCAGAAGGTTCCCTAGGAGCAAGTGACAGGCATCGGAGCTGTGGCCTTCTCTGGGTTTTGTCAGCTCTGTGCGGGTCTTAGCTGGTATCATTTTTTAAAAAGTGTTACATAGCATCTGTGTGTCAAAATTACAGCCCTGAAGATCTTAACATGCAAGCCAGTGCTCATAACTCTTAATATAATTGGGTACACTTTATCTTTTCTTCTACCTCAGCAATATCTGGAACCAGGTTTGGCTGCCATATTGATTTTTTTTCTAATAGACCCATCAGAGTATGTCTTAAAAAAAAAAAATCAACAAAACTGCCGCACTGTTGTTGTGTGTGTGTGTGTGTGTGTATGTGTATGTGTATGGCAGCACTGGGGATTGAACCTAGGACCTTCCCACTGGGCTATTTCTCCAGCCGCCACCGCCCCCCTTTGATTTTGAGACAGGGTCTCAAACTCCGCAAGTTGTCCTCATTCCTATCAAACTTGTTATCCTCCTGCCTTCGCCCTCTCAGAGTGCTGCGATTACAGGTGTGTGCCACCGCCCTGCTTGCACTACTATTTTAAATCTGGCATTGCATTGCATTTGAGAGGCTCTGGGATTCACAGTTTGTTTTTAGATTGTATTGTTCCATTACTGGATGGATCCTAAAGGATGGCTAGACAGATGCCCCTCATTGTCCTTAACTTCCTGTGGTGAGAACTTGAGTTTTCTAGTGTGGTTTTTGATGGGAAACAGGAGGACCTGGACATTCTCGTGCTCGGAGGGAAAAACAGAGCAGTTGTTTATGGGAAAAGGAACCAGAAGAGGCTGTCTGTGGTGGTGATGGGGATAGGCATATTTGACCAAAGACAAAAACTGTCACAGTGAACAGACTCCTCAGATCTGCTCAATTTCAGGTCACTTTCAGTTGTATAGAATCCATGTGTACTAATACTTTCCTGGGGTGTGGGAGCTTGAGACCCCTCATAGGACCCAAAGAGTTTAGGGTTGATACAAAGAAGGTGTATTTTGTGGAGATAACAGGAGAAACTTGGATGGATTTATGTGTCATCATGTGAGATATGATTTGAAATTAATTTGTAGTTAAAAATGGAAAAAGGTAGAACATGGTGTTTACTTTAAAAGTTTAAGTAACAAAGTATATAATATAAAACGGACCCTTACATCTCCCAGGAATTGGACTTGTGTCATTTATAGACTTTTTTGCACATATAAATGCATCTGGGGAAAAAACCTAGCTGCAGAACAATATGTGGAAGGATATATGGAATAAGATATATCTGCATGATTATTTTAGAAGGTAACTCCTAAGAAATATTGTACCTGTGCGTTTATTCCCCAGCATATTATAGTCCTGTGTCAGTACCTTCGAGTTACCGTGTCTTTCTGGTGGAAAAATGGGATTTCATTGTCTAGAGAAAGCGCCAGTTAGTCATTGTTCTGTTGGTGGGTATTTTTAGGTTGTCTCCAGGCATTTGCTGGAGTTAACACTTGTGTGTACATCATCTGGGGTCTCTGCAGGAGCATGACACCAAAGAAGTAATGAGTCTGGAAGATGTCTTGAGCTACTTTGGCCAGCTGCAGATATGTTTGGGCTTCAGGATGGTGCGGGCTGTAATGCTAATAGAGTTCGCCTCTCTGCTCTTGCTGAGGGAGTTTCCATAGTCCAGTCTTTTGTTTGCAGTCTTTAATTTTTTTTTTTGAGTCCTTTTCAGAAATGGTAGAAGAGAACTGCAATTACTCATTTTCTTAGCCTTTGAAGATACACACTGTGTAGTTCTTATCTGTGGTCTCCTCACTGTGCAGTAGCACACAGAACTTCTGTCTCACTGTGCCTTAGACCCATTGACCAAACTTTGCCCGACTCGCCTTCCTTTCTACTCTCTCCAGCCTCTGGTAACCACCATTCTACTCTGAACTTCCGGGAGATCAAGTTTTTTAGATGCCACATAGGAGTAAGACCATGTACTTCTCTTTTTGGGCCTGGCTTACTGCACTTAATGTAATGATCTCTAGTTCCATCCATGTTGTCACAAATTACAGGATTTCATTCTTTCCATTGTGTGTATGCACCACATTTTTTTTATCCTTTCATCCATTGATAGGCATGCAGGTTGTTTCCAGCTTTGGGCTGTTGTGAATAGTGTTGGAATAAAAACGGGAGTGCAGGGTGCCTCTTTGACAGACTGATTTCATTTCCCTTGGATATGTGTCCAGTAGAGAGACTGGTGCATCGTATGGTAATTGTAATTTTAATTTTTTGAGGAACCTTCTTATTGTTTTCCATAGTGGCTGCACTAAATTTACGTTCCTACCAACAGTGAGGAAGAATTCCCTTTTCTCCATATGCCATCACTTGTTGTCTTTTTGTCTTTGTGATAATAGCCATTCTTCTTGGAGTGAGTGGAATTCATTGTGGTTTTGATTTGCATTTCGATGGTGATGAGTGATGCTGAGCATTTCTTCATCTTCCTGTTTGCCATAGGTATCTTCTGCCCTTATTCTTAAACTTCCTTTGGGCACCTGTCCAGAAGTCCAAGCTAGCATACTTCTGGTTTCTATAATACTAGCATTTGATACTGTTTCCCAAAGGAAATAGCTCTGAAAGGTCTTTTGTGCTAGTGAGTCATAAACTTGACTTTGGGAGATCTTTTAAAATTGGTCACTATAAGAGTAGAATCAATCTAATTATTACATACCTATGTTAAACAGATTTTTAAAACAAAAGAATATAAGTTAGCTATTATATGCATACTTTAATAATTAAACTAGAATGGAATTTGAGTTTATTTGCACTAGGCACAGTTCTGTATTGTTTTGACTTTACACTCTGGAATGAATGTATAATTTGTGTTAAAAGTGAAAACACACCTATTTCTGAATGAGTAGCCACAAGACATTAGTTTCTAGGCGTTCAGTGTACATAAAACCCCAGGCTTTGTGGAGCAAGGGTTCTGTTCTTCTTTACCCATAGTGGACCAGCCTGTGGCCTATCTGTGTTGAGGAATAGTTGAGTGACTGACATGCATTTGCCTGGACACTTAGGAGAGGCCTTCCCATAGTCCATGGTCGAGGTGGCCCGTGCCTGGCCCATCAGGCTGCCCTGGTCTCACTGTGGAGGGCATCTGCCTGGTCGCCTTTGGTCAGCACCACCATGTGGTGTGCCAAGTCATGCCCAGTGCTGTGTGGCTCTCACTGTCACCCCCTTGTGCCTCTTTGATTACTTTGTTAGCTTTTCAGGACCATCTCAGGGATGATCAGATGGTGATGCACCCCGAACCCCTAAGAAGGAGCTGAAGGTTCTGAGAAGGAAGAACAGGGGTTCCAGGTGGAACAGATTCATCTTCAGTGTCCAGAGACCTTTATTTTGT